AAAAATAGTTTTTAACCTGGGCTTTCGTCAATAAACGGAATCATAAGTAATCAGGACCAACTTACACGGAGACATAGAGGCAAAAAGGGTAGAAAATTTCCTTCTAAGTCCAGCCTGAGTTAGATTTTTGATGGAAAACATTCTATGAAGACTCACTAATGATTTTTCTATATTCACATTATCTTAAACTCTTAAAACTGCGAATCAAACTCCAATGGTGTTGCGCAAGGATCATTCCTTGGACCTGATCTTGAATTTTCAGTTTTGCATGCAAGCCAATATTACTAATATTAAAGCTTGTGTTCCTACGATTATGATTATGATTATGATTATGATTATGATTACGTAACTACATCACACAGGTCAGTCTAGTTAACATCTGTAAAAAGCCTCTTATGTCATAAGCTACGCTGGTGTTATGCAAGATTCAATCTTTGGACATCGCTTTTGATTTTCAGTTTCGCACGTAAGGTCTAATTTATAAGCACTCACAAACGGAGGACAATGACGTTCAGGATTATAAGCAGCAACTTGAGCTTAAATCATGGACAATAGCGCGGTAAATTACTTTACTCTACATTTGGTACTTGAAAATCTCTACAAAAGACAGCACGCAATGAATAAAAAAAAGGAAAACGAAGACTGAATTAATACTGACCACCTGAATAACCAATGCAATCAAAACTATCAGACCAGATACATAACTATCCCATGAGTGGAATCAATGCAAATATGATTCGGATGTAGAAAATTTAGATTAGAGAAGCTTTTTGTCGATCAAAAGTGTTCAGGAAAGACAAGAACCAYTCGAAAATATAACTCTTGGTGTGAGGTCGGTAAGTAGCACAAGCCGTGAGAGGTGGCACAAGACTAACAAATTAAAAAAATATATATCACCATCCACAAACCTATGTTTTCTCTTTTCTTTGATAATATTTCACATACAAAGTGTAACTTGTTAAAGGACGTTGTCGTTTCTTGGTGTGATTTATGTCTGCATGTCAGTTCTTGATACAAATGTTGTCAGTTTTCGGTCCGTGGTCTAGTGCCTGGAAACAGTCTACTTGGTCATGTGTTTTTGACGAGTGCATATTTACTTGAGAGCAAACCCTCTTCCCATATCGAAGATAATGGCAGAAATACATTTTTCCATTGAAACAGTGCTGTCATGGAAAATCGCTATCTTGTTCTGGAAAAGTACAAACATGAGAATCCTCGTTGCCTTTGAAATATCCAAATGTTTTAGCTTTTACACTTATTTTTGTTCAGTACAGATGGATGCATGGCTAGTTTTTTCTTGTCGAATTACCAAAAAAATACAGTTGAAATTATTGTAATTTGGAGTCCACAGCAAAATATTACCGAGGATCTTGATGTATGCAAATAAAAGGACATTATTTTTGATGCATTCATTTTTTGATACGAACCTTTTCAACCCGCTGATCGCAAAAGGCAAAACGTAATCCAGGTAAATATGTCATGTTGGAAAACATTGCTTTTGTCAAAGTGCAAAGAGCCTTATCAAATCCACGAAACAAAATCTATAGTCCGATTTTTACTGTTAAACAGCACACAGCGACCAAATTAAAACAAACAAACAAGTTATAACATTTTTGATATATAACACGTGCTCTGATTGGCTGACGACCGTGTTTATATCAGAGGACAGAGAAACGCGCGCCGTTTTAAAAATCAATAAAAAATATAGCAATGGGGGTAATCATTATTCTGTTACATAATCTCGATTTTCTTATTCCTACGCACGCATGCGTATTGAGGTACTGCTGTCTGTAAGCTATGAAAAGGCTTATAGCCAAACTAGTGGACGAAATAAGAATAGAGCGCATGGCGCATAGAGTGAAGTCATTAAGGCTGATTTACACGGCACGATTGTCTCGTGCGATTTGTAGTATACGACTTGAATCTCGCAGTGTAAATGCCCCTACGACTTGTCTACAACAATCGTACGCAACCTACGACTTGTAGTAGGAAAATCGTATACTACAAGTCGCGCGCGACAAATCGTACCGTGTAAATCAGCCTTTAAACCCGTGAAACATCGCTATTAAAGTGTGATAGTGAAATAGACACAAAAGAAAACAATGCAATTAGAGCTTCTAAGGCCTGTATTAGTATCTATTTTTAAGGAAATTTTTACTTCACTCTAAAAACAATTCATATAAAAAACAATTTCCTTTCTGGCATTGTGTTTAGTGAATTCTTGTTAGTTGATAACTAAATCTTATTCGTTGTTAATTGTTAAGAAATGTTTCACACTTTTACGCGWGCACTCTAATTGGAATTATAAAGTACCAAGGTTAGATCCAAGATCAGTGAAACGTCGACTATCATA